TGCTCCCACAGATTGTCCAGAAATCTCCCATTCTCATTCACAATCTTTCCCTTTTTATTCCAGACTAACATCGAGACCATCCAGACACGCCCCTATCTCATTTCTTATATTTATGGAATATACTTTAGTTGGATGGAATATTTTGGGGTATCAGTTGACATATCAATCGTTCTATCAAATAATATTATTATAATTCAGGCCACAAAATATTTCATCTTTAATCATATAAAGTCCTGTATAAATTATTCATCGTAATTCACTCATTTTTCTTCACAGAGAAAAAAAATCTCTTACTCCCACGAAAATCATTTTATTCCCGAGTTTTGATCGAAACTATTTCGTTGTTTAAAAGGAAAATGAGAAATATCTTGTCCTGGGATTATTTATTGTATTCCACGGGAGGGCGGATATTCACGGGATGGGACATTCGGGAATCAATTTTAATCCCTGGAAATATGAAAAGATGATTATTGGAGGCTGGGATTTCCACGAAAAAAGATTGAAACATCTTTCTCTAACAGTTCTGGATTGTCGTACAGAGTTAAAAACGAAAAAACATCGGTCTGGGATTTGGACGTCGAACAGGGGAGCTATCAATCCTCTCCGGATTGATCATATCTCCAGGGTATCCCGAGATTCAGCTGATAAGGGTAACAGGCCCCCGCATTATTGACTATTGTTACAACAAGGAGTACCACAGAATCCTCATGCCAGTGCCATTCGTCAAGACCTAAAAAGGGATCTCGGGCCCTTAATGACTACAGGAAAAGTCCGTTTGCCTCCAACCACTGGTCGATTCACATCGTGACGCAAATCCTGACGGTTATCTCGTCGTGTGGTTCCCCCTGGATGAAGAGGATTATACGGGAGCATTTCATGGCGTTGAAGATCATATCACTAATAAAGGCTTGACAAGAGGCATTCTAATCGGAAAGGGACTATTCGGAAAATAAGCATATGGAGATTGAACCCATTTGAGATTTTTGTCGAGATCTGATTCAATGCTGATGTCATGATACGGATAATGTACCTGGTTGATATGTAAATCACTGGGGACTGCTCGGTAGTCAAAATAAAAATTACTTTTCGTCGAGGGAAAAAAGGGAAGAGGGAAAAATTTTCACACCGCGAAAATAAAAATATTCCCACCAACTAAATACATGAACCAGCAATTGCTTAAAATCTATATTTAATTTTCTTGTTGTCTTAATTAGTCAATTTGAGTGTTTAAAATAATTTTGATTAGGTGAAATTTTGGAGACGATGGCGCCATCTAACCGTTCGGTATCGCAGCGACTCAAATATCGATCGAGATCCAGATCGATTTAACCCATCAGTCGGTAACTGCCGAGAAGATCAATCCGATCGATCGGTGATCCAAGAATTTTCTTACCGATTATAAATAAATATCGGTGACACATCAGCATCCAAATGAATGTCTGATTAATTAAATTTGCATCACTTCTTTCATGGAATCCATTTAATTTTCAATTTTTTGTATTCACACACATTTCTCCCAACAAATAACTTAGTAAATAACTTATCAACAACTCGTGGACAATAAACAATAAAAAAAATCCCGAGGATTCCCGTAATTCGATGGATCACTAGAAATAACTTATTCCCACCCACGCCACTGAAACCGGATACTCCGTTGAATTTCCCAATTTTACGATCACTCGGCAATCCACCCACTCAATTAATACCCATTGATACCGAATTGATAATGAAGACACACCCCCCAGTACCTGGAGAACAATGCGCAATGGAGACAGTTCAATTAAAATCTATGTTTCGGGTCAGTATGAATATAAACAGCTAGCGTTAACGATAAATAGTGGAGGTGTTGGAGGCAACCCTATTGCGTATTACGACGTCTGCACGTGTAGTCTCCAACAAGCCCTGTAACTTCCACGTACACCCCATCTACCATTGCCCACTTTCACAATCCCCGTACCTCTGAATAATGGTCTGAACACAGGCATAAATAAGACTGGCTGGTTAATAATCTTATTTAGCTAACGGAGTAATCGCAATTTGCTTAAATCTCACAACCCCGGCTCAATCCGAGGGTATTCTACCCTTCCTCGTCTTCTCTTCATCCCCATTCCATCCCATTTCACCCCATTCCACCCCATCCCACTCTACCTCACCTCCCTTAACCCCCAAGCCCCCTTGTCACCCCTTTAAAAACCTTGCAGGTAACCTACAGCAATAGTACCACCCGCACAAGCCTCATATCCAGCCCTTCCTGCCCGAGGGCGATTAATGAATTTATGGGAGCTTGTTGGGACGCTACGTTCGCTTTACTGCAGAATTCGAAGCCTCTGGCTATAAACTAGACTTGCCAACCCGTGAATCTAACCACCGGTTTGAAACTACAGACACGAGGCCTATGTACACGTGCCACGTTACCTCACGTGCCTGTCCCTTTATAATCCCTGCTACCTTTTATCTTTGCTCCCTTACCCCCTGGCTCATACTCTCTTTCTCGTTGCAGCTTGAACCAGGAGCTGAGAGTTTATATCCAGGGCTCGACCGCTCGACCGCTTGACCACCGATTTCGAAAGGGCCCCAGGATTTCACTTCTAGACGAGACTTACCTAGGGCTTCAGCTGCGTTGAGTATTTCAGCGTTTCAGGATTAGGGATCATGTCACCATTTCAATTTTCTCGTAGTAGGGAAATATCAATCGTTCACTTTAACTTGACCCTTCAAACATCGACTTCATGACAATGCAATCGAGTTATTCCTCGAATGCCTCTCCATCTCCCACTAAATGAGTAATCAGTGCTAAATCAGACCGGATGCAGCTCCCACATGACTCTGACACAGGGGACGAGATAGACAGAGGCCGATTCGACGAGGGTTCAGCAATATGTCGAGTGCATATATGTCCGTGAAAATATCGATTTGTACAAGAGCAAACTGTGTCACCGTGGGTTATGCAAAACACCAGTACCCGGTTGTCTATCGCAAGTCAACAATGAGCCTCAATTACACGTTGAGCATCCCCTCATCCTGCCTTCTACCCGATAACTCTACCATTTGTCTAAATCCCAATTGCCCTCACCCCTCATGACCTGCACTCACGGACAAAAAAAAAACATATTTTTTCAGTGACCCATTCACTTGAATGAAACATATATTTTCTCAGTACGTTATTTCTCCGAGTAATATCCCCATGATTTTCCGATGATAATCATCATATTGTAAAATACTGTAAAAGATGATCATGTATGGATATGGATATATCCTTGCATAAACTTCATTAATTATCATTAATTCTGTTTGAGTACTGAATTATGTTACTTGAATAAATGATTAATTATTCATTCGATTGACAATTTAACTGATAATTTGAGATTCAGGTGGTCTTATTTATCTGCGTGATGAGGCAATAATTAGAAAAGCTAATAATGTTGAGGGAATGTTCAAGTCAGTGTGAGCTCAATGAACGAGTTTTCCAGAGTTACGAGAAATGATTTTTCCCAAGTTTTTTGTTTCATCTTCACGTTGTATTATCGCAGAAGCTCTCGGTTATCTCTTTCTTCTATTTTTACGTTCTTTCTAGTGGTCACGAAGAAAACTCTCACAGTCTACGGACTTTCTGTCGGCTTTTCTTTCACAATTTCGTTTTTTTACCTCTGTAGAACTATCTTTGTCTTCCACTTAAACTCCTGAAATCTCCTGTTCAGTCATTTTGGTAGACAAAGAAACTAGTAAAACTCTTCTACCACTGATGGCTACCATCCAACGACAGAGTTTACATTTCTATTCACTACTGTTTCACTGATCAAAGTGCTTGTCAGTTGGTTCCATTTCATATCCTCTCAGCAATGTTTGGAGATGGAGGAGGTAAAAATTCTCGGGTTTAACTCTCTTTGTCTCCTCTACTCTTCTTCATCTCAATTATGCAGTTGTGGAACTCACTAGGGTGAATTGCCATGACGGTTTATCGAGCCTCGACACGGAGAGAAAATTTATTTTTTACGAATATTCATTCACTTCAGAGCAGTTCGTACATTCTTAAGATTCTACTCTACACGCTGAGAAATATATTCTATTCAACCACAATTAAAGCTCTCCACTGCCTACGGAATGCTCCGAAAAAGTCTCGTAATAATTTTATATACAATGTTTATGATTAAGCAATAAATTAAGTAGCAATAAATGCTAGCATTCAATGAAATTAAAGAATGATAGACTGGCCAGTGGCATTCTCCGAAAATAATGCAAACATAAATGATGAATAATGAAAAATCGTCAATAAAAATATTCATTGAATGGGCTTGAAATTCTAATTGTCTGTTTTTCAACGAGATTTTTACAGAAAACACCCGAGATGAAAATTCGAGAGTCTATCTTGGTGCTGGAGACTATCGTCTCAGTCTCAAGAATGATCTCTCTCCGCGCCACCAGAGAGATTATTGGGAGACGCGTAACCAACGTGTCAAAAAGACTACAGTCTGTGAATGAGAGACTGTAACGCGCATCTCTCCAAAATCTCTCAGTCTTTCCGAGACTGCAGTCTCTACAAGTCGTCTGTATGCGACGGTAGCTAGAATAATTTATTTATGATAACAAATTATTACGACAATATTTGTTTATTCATTTATTTATTCATTGCAAATGTATCCTGTCAGTCTTGCAATACTGACATTAGAAATACCTTTTTTTTATTTGAAAATACAGAATATTTTTCTATTATTATTTTCCTAAATAAACAATTATTTTTCTTACAGTTGTAACTCAGAAAATATTCCTATGGGTACTTAACCCACTTAACCCACTTAACATTCACAGAAAATACAAATTTTTTCGCCAATTGGGAAATATCCAATATTTCCTTTTTTCAGTGAAAATTCTTTTGTATCATCATTTAAAAAATAGTTGTGCAACTCTTCTTCCTTGAATAGCGACCAATATGCGCTCAAATAAAGAAAATGAATATGAACATCATGATATACTAAAAATTTTTAACAAATTAATATCATTGATGAGAATTTTTTTTAGGCATGGCTAATTGGAAAAAACAGTAAAAAATGCCAACATTTTTTGATAATAGTAGTCATTTGTCGTAAACATGTAATTGAATTTTGAGATTGTTCTAATGTTGATAATAATTATAGTTGGGATTGTACACATCAGAAGGAGTTATTTCAGGGTTGATTGCATGATTTGTGTGGTCATAAAATCCAGGAGAATATTGAAAATAACCGGGATAAAATGTATTATCATATTGACCTTGATAGAGTGTTGGATGAACTGGCTGATGATAATTGGATGATTTCGGGAAGCTCCATGGGTGCTGAGAAGCTTCTGCAGTGTGACACTGTCTTGTAGTCACTGCAGCGTGTTCACTGTGATGATTCTCTTTATTAACTTGATCATCGCCAAGTTTTGCCGTTGTAGTCCTTTCATCTCCATTGCACCCTGCATCAACTAATGGTGCGACTAATTGGCCAGGTACATCTATGGTGGGTTGTTGAGACTCGAGGGGGTGAATTGAAATATTTCCTTTGTCTATAGGAAGTATTTGAGAAATGTTGTTTTCATTTCTTGGACTGCTTATTTCTCCCAAAATGCATGAGTTTGATGATCGATTTTTCGCAATATAATTAGAGTAGTTGATATTTAAAGGTCGTTTCTCAGAAGAATTGTTTGGAGTGGACGTGACCATTTCTTTACCGGATTCGCTCTCTAAGCCAGCGTAGTCAGCAAATAAAATTCCAGAGATTGAGCGATTATTCTTTGAACTTTTTTTCTTTTTTTCCATTACTCCAGATTCATCACTTGGGATGATTGATTTCACCCAATCATGCACCTCTTCAATTTCGGAACTATCAGCTTGGCCCATTTTTTTCATTTTCTCTGAAATCCTCGTCTTCAAGTTCTGGGACGACTGCTCAAACCGATTTTTCACTGGTTCAGTCTTTGTCTTTCTACACATCATTTCACGTTTGCTCACTTTCCTTCTTTTTTCCGATTTCATAACGTCAATGTCAGGGCTCTCATCTGAATTCATGACTGCGGTTGGACTCTTGGTGGCAACTCTCTTTTTAGCCCTTCTCCTCGGCACGGATTTTGTTCTGAAGATCTCCTCCTTTGTGCCTTGATTATCGGCGACACTCTCTTCATCGCGTTCAATTTTCATCGATCCATATTTTTCAGCCATAGCCCCACACATCAAGTTGACTACTCGATTGAAAGGATTTCTCTTCTCCTTTGCCAACCCAATTTTACAATTGAGTCGTATATAACCTGTGAAGTAAATTCAACAATCAATTTAAATGCAATTTTCATTTCATAATCTAATAAAAACGCATTTACTTTGAACAGCGTTGTACAATGCGGGAGGTATTCCGGGCTTTTCCCCCGTTCCTGCAGCGGTCATAGAAGCGAGCTCAGATTCTCCAATCAGCCACTTCAGAATTCTTCTCAGTAGCTCCTTCCAATCGTGCCCATAAGCTTTCAGCAAATCATTTAGATCTCCTCCATCCACCCATACATTTGATTTCGGAATGAGCTGTACTTTTCCGAATGCTGGAATCTCCCACGCGTACTTCTTTCGCTGTCCTGTATTTTTTTTCATCTGATGAACTTTGAGGTGGGCGACACAATGCTCAAGTGCTGTAATTACTTCAGGCGTAATAATATCTGGAAAAAATGGTTGAAACTTTTTTTATCGTTTTTTATTTTTATTTTTTCAATTCTCTTACTCGATTGATACCGATTCTCACCTTGGATTGATGCGCAGAATTCGCATGGCCTAGAATCCACATCTACTAATTTCTCCAACGGATCCTCTTTCTCCTCATTCTCAGACCTGTCCAGCCCCAATTCATCCTCACTTTTTATCTGTTCATCATGTGGTTTTTTTGTTTTTTTTATAGATTCGTCACATTTATATTTGCGCATCAACCTGATTGTGTCAGCCTTGGTGGTAACCTTTTGATCAGTGTCTTTCGACTTAATAAGGAATTTATTGTATTTCAAAATATTTTTCTGCTTAGCTTCCTCAATATTTTTGCGTCCTTTCGCCAAAGCTCTTTTTTTAGCCATATTTTTTTCTCGTTGTTTCTCAATTTTTATGCCTGGTTCAATCACTTCTTCAGTATGCCAGTCGTACTCCAGTTCTTGCAAATATTTTCGTTGTTCTGCGGATGATTTTTTTGTTGGAAAAAAATTTTAATAATTTCAGACGGAGGAAAAAAAATACTTTAATCAAATTCGTTTACTTTGTGTGCATAAATATTCGGTTTGCTAATTCAATAAAAGTATTTAGGTTATTATTTCTTTTCGAGTATTATTCATAATTTCGACTGTGAACAAGGGTGACAAAAAAGGTAGAGAAACATGATGATTTACTTACGACTGAAGGTTATGATCTTGGCAATATGCTGATGTTCTCCCCATTGTACTAGCACGTGCTCGCCTTTCTTCAGCGGTTTTTTTGTGCCCGATAACTGGCAAATGTTTTTTTCATCTATTGTGGCGATAGTTCGGTCCTCCGAAAAATACCCAAGAAAAAACATTTTTCTTGTTTATATGCACAACCGTTATTGCCTGGCGTGGGTTTTTCTACCCACGAATAATAATCGATAATAATAATTATTCGTCTGAATTGCAGTATTTATATTTTCCACAGAATACACTGATCACTTTGTAATTATAATACCACTTAATTTTGGATCTGTATTTCAACACTTTCACTCGGTTTATGTACGCAAAACTAGAATTTATACATAAAAGAAAATTCACCGTGGCGTCGAGTATCGCGTGGCTTAGCGTCATGGAACACCAGCACGTTACGACGAGCCGGCCGGTGGGGGCCGGATGTTAATTTTTTCGGCGGAAAAATTTGGCAGAGCACTTTAATATAAATATTTATCTCACAACTAATAAATAGTAGTCACCGAATAGATTTGCACTGTTTGGATTGCTCAGAAGTCTTTAGAAACTGATAATCACAATTTATCATTAATAAAATACATGCGCGAACGGCTGGAAGCAGCGCAGAAGACATTCACAGGTGTCGCTTCTGGAGGTTTTCCACGTGCATGTATGCCTGTGTATATGTATGTGTGTGTATGTGTATATGTGCACACATCTAACTCTTATCATGCTTCAATTTGTAAAGATGCCCTCCAAAAAGATTGCTCCTCGTCCCATACTTTTTAGAGATTATTCACGACGTAGTCAATTGCGACTATCTCAGAAATTACGAAAATTTAGACTCGAAAAAGTTCCACAATTTAACCCCAGAGATATACCCGATAACATTGTCACTGAAAGGTAAGTAGTTGTTGATATAAAAATATTATAAACCAATATTGCAGGTTAGAGACTATTTATTTCATTTCAATCTTTTTTCCAGGCAAATTTCGAATTACGAGACAGTCTCACGAATTGCAGATGATTGTAATGACACAGAATCTGATTCTTCTCACCACGTGAGGAGTATGGACAATTCAAATAGTGAAGAAAATTTGTCTGACGATGGTAATTATCTGACATTAATAGCGTTTTTCTTGCATTATTGCTCGAGTCAGAGATTTTGTGGCGTTTCTTAGCAACCAAAATATTGTGTTTACTGTCTCAATTTTTTATTCAGCCAGTAAAACAAATGATAATCAATGATGACATTTTCATCCGGTTCACCGACTGAATCAAAAAATTAAGAAACACGAAAAATATTGCGATTACTGCGAGACAATACATAATTAGTGACTCTGCCTATTAGTTTCTTTATTTATGATGATAAAAACATTTGGTTATGACTCTACAGTAAAAATTTTTTATTTCATGGAAAATAGGCAGTTAATAAAAATAAATAAACCGCCGGAACGAAGGAGCCTAAGTGCAAGAAAAAACCAGGAGCATGTCCACTCCTATTTGTAAAATTTTCCAAGTTTCAAAAAAAGTTTTTGATCGATTCGTTCTAAAATTGCTTTATTGAATGAATGAAAAATGTACAAAAATGTTCGGTCTGAAAAAAATTACATCCTGCTGAATCTTTTCTTAAAATAAATATACTGTGCCTATGACATTCAATGTTCAAGAAGAAATTCATCGATTTCATCGTGTAAATATTAATTTTGTAATTCATAATGATACAACCCAAAAAATGTTGTTCATTTGTATTTTTAATTTTCACGATAAAGGAAATAGAGTGTTTTTTTAAGGGAACTCTTAAGTGAAAATCGAATTTATGGCAAAAAGAAGGCAGCATAATCCTATGAAGATTTTTTGTACTACTTTTCTTGCTATTTTTATTAGCTCAACGTTTGATGATCATTTACTCTAGGTGAAACAGAAGAAGATACACCAAGTCATGATAACCTTCGCAACGAAGAGGAGCAATGGTTCTCTAGTGATGAAGGTGAAGAAGAAGATTTTTCTGAGGATGGTAGTGAGGAGACCTACGACGAAGATGACATCGAAGACCAGGAAGAGGAAGATCCCCTTCTGTACCCCGGGGCACGACTTACAGTTGGTGACAGCTTACTAGCAGTTTTAACATTATTTCTCCGTCATTCATTTTCTGCAGCCTGTTTAGTTGATATTTTACACCTTATCGAATTAGTCTGTATCACACCAAATAAGTGCAAAAAGACTTTTTATAAATTTAAACAATATTTCGTCAAGGCTTACCCACCATTGAAGAGACGATTCTATTGTGCCAGGTGTTTTGAAGTACTCAAAACCGATAAAACTCAGTGTGGAAACTGTTTAGAAGAAACTCAGGTAGCTTATTTTATAGAAATATCACTAATTAGTCAACTCCAGATATTATACCGGCGATCAGATTTTGTTAATCATTTGCAGTATCGATTTACTAAAACAAAAATCAATGACGAATTCTATGAAGACATTTATGATGGAAAAGTCTACCGAGAACTTTGCCAGCCAGGTAGCATTTTATGCAATCCAAACAACATTTCCTTCATGTGGAATACTGATGGTGTGTCTTTATTTAAATCGTCAAAGTTTTCAGTTTGGCCATTTTTCTTAAGTATTAACGAGCTACCTTACGATCAACGAACCAAAAAAGAGAATTTGCTTTTAGCAGGCTTATGGTTTGGTCCAAATAAACCTTTGCCACAGTTATTTCTGCAATTCATATCCGAAGAAATTGAAATTTTGAGGAATGGAGTCGATTTTTATGTCTCAGGACTTGATGATCCTGTTAGAGTCCAAGGTGCAGTAATATGCGGTACCTGTGATGCACCAGCAAAAGCTTTATTTTTAAATATGAAGCAGTACAATGGCGAATGGGGCTGCCAAAAATGTGAGGCTCGATCACAGCAATACGAAGATAATAATGTTCGTGTTTATCCATTTATTGGAAATCTAATAGAACGTACTCAGGAAGAGACTGATCGCCTCGCTGCGCAGGCAGTGGATTCTGGAAAAGCTCCGAAAGGGGTAAAAGGACCCAGCGCAATATCGGCTTTGTCATCAAATTATATCCGTAGTACTGCCATAGATATTATGCATTGTGTTTTTCTCGGTGTTATTAAAGACCTCCTTACCTTATGGTTCTCACCAAAGTACAGAAGCAAACCTTGGTCTCTTTTCCAGTTTAAAAAAATTGTGGACGATAAAGTCTGTGCAATGACACCCCCTACTTTTGTATCTCGATTACCTCGTGCGATTTCAGAAAATTTAAGTTATCTGAAGGCCTCAGAATTGAAAAATTGGTTTCACTATTACTCCCTTCCCATTTTAGAATCAATTATGTCACCTGTATATTTAGAGCATTATCAACTATTCGTTAATGCAATATATTTATTGAGTTTGAATAGTGTTTCAGGGGATATGGTAAACCTTGCAGATAAATTCATTTTTGAGTTTGTTTTGAGATTTTCGGATTTATATGACCTTAGATTTATGTGCTCCAATTTACACCTCACTCGACACTTGCCAGGAGTAGTTCTAGATTTTGGACCGCTCTGGGTTACTTCGTGTTTTGCTTTTGAACATGTCAATGGCCAATTGAAAACTCTTATCAGAGGAACACGATTTGCAGGTTTACAAATTTCAACGGGTCTATCATACTTCATGGCTCTACCTGAACTAAAAGAACAATTACAACCCGCAAGTGATATTCGCAAATTTTGTGATCGTTTAAGTAGACCAGAAAAAAAATATAAATCTCACGAGATCGCTCCCAAATTACATATTGTAGGTATAATAAAGAGAACACTGCATCTATCAGGGACTATCATTGAAGCTATGGTGTCTGCAGATTTCATAGCCTCCAATCTTAGTATATTTTATCGACTATGGAAAAACAAATCATTGTATATTTCGACAATGTACAAGCGCTGTAAAAAGACAGATTCATCTTGTGTTCGATATAATTCTAATGGTCGAATTGAGTTCGGAATTATCAAGTGTTTCATGAGAGTTTCGAATTGCAATTGCAAGAGTTATTGCAGTAGTGATCAGTGCGATTCACAGTACTGTGCTATTATTGAAAAATGCATTACTCTTCCACGATTCAATTCCAGTCTAAATGATGATTCTTTGAATTCCGATTTCAATTACTCAGGAGTCTATGAATGTACACTTACTGATAATTTAATTGCCGTGAACATCAATGAAATTTCACATATCTGTTTTTTTCTGAAAATTTCGAAGAAACAGCACTACATTGTTGATCCCACGAATACAATTGAAGTGGAATAATAAATATTCGACAACGAATTAAATTAAAAATGTTAATAAAATATACTTTCTAATAAAAATTGATCATGAATTTGGTTTTTTATTTCATTAATAGACAGTAGAGGATTATTTTTTTTATTAATTTTCTTTTTTGATCATCGAATACAAAAATATTCCAAGTTTCAATCTTTTAAATAGAGAGTCAAATATCGGGAGAGTCAAATAGCGACTCAGATCTCTCCACCTAAAACTCATCGAGACGCGAACGCACATCATAAGCCTTGCCAGAGACCCGCAGAGACTACTTATGATCTCGACCGGTCACGCAGAGACTCCGAGAGCGCGGAATATTTCAGCCCGGGCATCCAAAGAAAATTCACAATTAGAAGAAAATTCAGTAACTGCCGAGGTAAATGCAACAATTTTTCGAATGTTCATGCTATATCCAGGTTGTGAGATCAATAAATGACGAGTATAGAGGATATTCATCGGATATCGTGGCAGCCCAGGCTGTTTGCCTCAAGTCACGTTAACATTGATTAAAATGCAAGGCGCGCCAAGCCGTGAAATGAAAGAGCAACAGCACGAGCGAATTGCCACTGGCTTCTTCCACCTTCTCTACCTATTTTCCAACATCACTTTCGTGTACATCGTGACCTCTCTCTTCTCCTCACCTCTTTTAGCATTGCATCCTAGTGTAGCGAATATTGCCGAGATTAAGAGATATAAACGTGTAGGTGAAGGCTGTGCGAGCATCGTACCATTCAATTGAAAATTTCATTCACCGACAGGTAAGCAATCCCCTTCAATGACAATATTCTTTGCTTTAATGGAAATTTTTCAGCGGATGATGGGAACGACTATTGGATCGCTTAACAAAATGGACTCGGTTCTCCATGAATTGGAAAATATCAAACCATTCTTTAATATTGGCATTATCTCAGAATGACAGTTTTTTAAATGTGCAACCAGATTTTTTCAACGTTCGGTTAATTACACGGAAAGGAAAGAAATAATTGAAAAAATTATTGAAATCGGGAATGCATCGAAATGGTGTCCTTGCAGTGGCTTAATCACCCGTTCTTTCGATGGGATGATTGAATCAGACATCTTCCTGAAATAAAAATTAATGAATCAAGTGATGATTCTGACAGGAGATCTCGTCGACGCTGATGGTATCACAGGTCCTTATCATTCCATGTGGGTGAAACCCTCGAGTCTCATTGAAGCGTACAGTCACGTAGCCCTCGCTTGTAAACAGAGTCTTCAACCCTGAAATTGATGTCCTCCGAAGAGGTACAAGCCAGAGAGAAATAAAAAAATAAAGCCCAATGAAATCTAACTGTGCAAAAACTATTTTTTCAATGCAGAAAAGCACTTACCCTTGGATCCAGCGTGCTAGAGGTTTTTACCGACTTCCATGAGTATTGGTTGTACACAGGGTTGTGTATGGGGTACCTCTCGCATTTTACATCTTTTTTCCCTCGCGTTTTCTTGAGTAAAGTACCGATCTACAATTCTACGGCCGTCCGGAAAAATATCGACGGTGTCCCCAGACTTCGTGCATATGGAAGACATTTTCTCAACGATTCTGAAACCTATCCCCCCTCCGAAACCCCCCATATCCCCAGAAACTCGTCGATTCCTCTCATTTTTATTCCCCTTTTCTCTCTGTGCTGCTTTATTTTCTTCATTCGGTTTTCTTTATTCTGTCTGTCCTCGGAGGTTGGGAAGGGATCAGCATTCAGAGAACACCAGAGCCCAGGATGCAATGTCTACGTGAGGGAAACAATAATGATGCGCTTGGATTGCAATTAAAAGTCAAGTCGAGGGGTAATAAATATTGCCATTCGGGTAAATACGAAAAATAGGGGGTGAATGGTGTTCTGCTCGGGGATACAGGGGATGTTATGGTCTAGTGGACAGCCAAGTTGATTCAGGCCATTTCCCTCGTCTGAAACAAAAATAACGGGAGGTAAAACGGCCAGAATTTCCAGTCGTTCACGCGCAAAAAATGCAATACATTTTTTTTTCTTTTAAATATACATTTTTTTTCAATTCCAGTGACAATTTATCAGCTGTTTTTAGAAGAGTCATTCCCGGAGTTGAAATTACCAGCGGTAACGTATAAAAAAATATAAGAAAATATAAAAAAAATATTAAAAAATATAAGAAAATATAAGAAAATATAAAAAATATAAGAAAATATACACAGAATAGTATTCATCAATGATATCCTGCAGATTATCTGGGAAGTGGGTTGAAACGAGCGAAATTGATCTGCTTTGTATAATTTTTCAACCGGAAATGAAGCGAAATGAAGCGATTCGGAGTGCAATTTGGCATCGGGCGTTTTTCAGTTCTATTAGGCCTGAATATACTTTCCTCGCAGATAGTCCCTTCGATCCACCTCTTGGCCCCTCGCCAGGACACTCCATCGTCCCATAAACTTAATTTCAACCTCTTCCTCCACTACTCGACTGCCGATTCCCAAACGACGGGTATTTATTACACAAGACAGCGATAATCTTATTCCATTCGGCTGCGAATTATGGACGATTGCATTCACAGATTGTATGAATCTTCACTAGGACGACATATCGATAGAAAAATCTGCCAATAAATTTATGTACAAATTTTTGTACAAATTCATCTCATTCTTTCCCCATTTTCTATTATTATAAATTAAATTTTTTTTAAAACATTATTTTAAACTATTTTAAAAACCTATTTTATTAACAAAAAATTTCACGTATTACAAATTCTATTTGACGTGTGGAATTTTTATTTAATAGCTTCAATAAATTATTGTTTGGGTTTCACTGAACTTCTTTTTTTGGTGAATTATTTTTCTATCATGAGTTCCCTGGGATTAATGTGTTTGTAATCTAGAGAGATCCGATTGAAAATATATTTACTGATGAGTGATCAATAATTGATGGAGAATTAATTAATGTTCAGGTGGACGCGCATACTCAGTCATGCAGTTTGGTGCAGGTGAATTACTACTCATCGCTAAACCGAAAAATCCGGGCTGAAGAGGGATGATGTAATCCACAATGCCCTTTACACAGGAAGATCTCTTGATCCTCGAGAGATAATTAGGTGGATCCAACGTGACAAGTCCGGGTGAAATATGGTGTCGTTTTGTGCATTACTGCGCAGATCCTCTCGAGCGTATAACGATATAATATTCCTCTTCGTGGTTCCCTGAAAGAAGAAAGAGGTTCGTTTTCCTGACTCCCACAGGCATTATTAGTCAGATGTTAGCGAATCGTTGAGTATCACGATGTAACAAGACCCATCTCATCTATTTTCTTAGATCTATACATCAAATCACCCAGAGAAATGATCAATTAATAATTTAGAATTACTTCCAGTATTCCTCGCACTTTCTCAAAATTACCATATCTCCCTTTACCCTCCGAAAACTCCTAAAAACCAAACGCCAATCCGGGAAAAAAGGAATGTCGAAAACATTCCCTTAATTTCCATAAAATTTACTAAAGCATTTTCCATCAAGCCGCTCACCGTTCCGAATGCAAACAGTATTTGGTTTCATTTAGTAACGAGATTCGTGTAGATAAAAGAAAAAAAAAATGGTAACGGAAAATATTGTAATTGAAAAAGTAAAAAAACAACGTGGAAAAATTGGATACTCACTGTACCATTCCAGGTATAGAGAGTGGTGATTGATTTGTGAGTGTCGGCGACAAATCAATTTTTTTTTCCGCGTTCCTTTTACCATCGCATCCAGTCCGAATACATTTACCCTTCCTATCATGATATCGATCCACCGATATCAGGTCATCGATTCATACATTAACAATTGCCTTTTATGGTATTATTCTTGGCTCAATTGTCTGTCAAGATCATCAGGTATCGATACTTGGCTGAAATACATTGATTTGTCAATGTTTGTATCTTCAGGATTATGAGGATTATGAGATCAGATTCAGGTGATTCCCTGATATCTTTATGACCATTAATCGAAAGGGAAGCAGTGGCTAGTGAATATCTGGGGGCAAAAGTTGCCTTTATTACCACTTCACCAGGAAACATAAACAGTTTGCCACCCTCTTCTCAAGTCCCTCCATTCTGAAGCGGTCCTCAAGCAAAAAGTACGGAATGGCGAGTGAAATGGGACTGCCGAGTGTTTCACGAGTTATGTAACTCTAATAACCATGGGAAAACACACTCCGTCGATATTGCAGGTAATAAAGTCTCGAGTGGCCACACAATGAAATAAATCTCCAATGGGTATACAATAATGCTATGTTGAATGGACTGAAATGAAAAAACTTTCTAATGTTTAAGTTCAACTTGACTGATGCAGCTCGAGTTTACAGCTGAGAAAAGAGATTTTTTATTTTCAGGAAAACTTGATTCCAGAGATATTCCATTTTTCATATTTACTTGGCACTTGTCAATTTTTTTTTTGTGCGATTCAAGTTAATCCTTCAGTTTCATTAATTTTCCAGTGCATCTTGAAATTTGAATTGGCGAAAAATCGACATGCCTCGGGTCAATTCTGAGACTTGTTGGTTTTTCCAGACTCTTACTTATATCAGGCCTGACATCCAGACTACTCGAATCACTTCAACGTGATTCAGATCGCAAAGCACCTGAAACCAAACAGACATCGACCTTGGACCCACAACTCACCCCTAAATACTTCCCGAAATAAAAAAAAATTACAATGAAGCGATCATAAAATTATGAAATCATTATCATGTGTAAGAAAAGCTGTTTCTTCCTGATGGGGCTATCCCATGACAATAATAGGGGAATGAAGACAGCGTGCCTGTCAAAACGCGCCCCATTCAATTCCCCAGGTGGTGCAGGGGTCGCTCTTAAAAAATAAAAATAATTTATGAACACTGCGAATTTGCAGTTAGAGGGGTGTACTCCACCTCCCCGTGGGCAGAATCGGTTTCTATCGCACGCCCATTCCATTATTGCCACTTTGGGACCACGAGAAATATAAACCGACTCCCTCCGGGCTTCGAGGACTTACTCCAGGGTAG